CCTTGGGTTTGCAAGGCAGTATCACTATGGAAGTAGATTGCCCCATCTTCTTTCCGAGGAGTGGCTAGTGGGTTTGAACCTCCAGCCTTCTGGTTAGCAGTCAGGTGTCTTAGCCACTATGCAGTGGGGCAGTTCTGTGTGAGGATGGAGGGAGCCCATCCTGGAAGCATCTCCCAGGCCACGTCTTCCTGTTGGTAGACCAATGCCTCACTTCTGCTATGCCGGGTACCACCATCTGCCCACAAGGATGGTGGTGAAGGCTTGGGTCTGGGGGGAACTTGTGGGAAGAGCAGGAGGACAGACAGCAACTTCCCTGTTTGAAGGAAATGCCAAGCTTTTTGTTGTTTCCAAAAGGAAAATGACCCTGAACCTGGCCAACGCTGTTCCATCTGTCAGTGATCTAGTGTGCATGCATCTGGAGGAAGAGGGGCTCAGTTTCTGCCCGTGTGGCCGGGGCTTCCTGCCCGCCTGTGTACTTGGGGCCAGCAGGGGTAAGCCCCAGGGCGCCCATGCTGGGCCCGACACATTGGACTCAGCTCGGAGGGCACCAAGACCACCTGTGCTACTTTGGTGCTGCCAGCCCCACACACCAGCTGTCCAGCCGGCAGATGGGCGGTGGTCACCCCAGATGGCGGCTTGGCAGAGCAGGGCACGGGCTGCTGGGGATCCACGGTGGTGGCTGTAGAGCCAGGAGGCACAGCCAGCTCTCTGAGTGTGGAGCGTCTGCCAAGGCCTCTCCACCATCATGGCTCGAATGAGTCATAAGGACAGCCTTACCTTCAACAGAACGACCTAAGAAGGGGATTTGCGCAGAGAGACACTGCAGCTGATTTTCTGGCCAGAGGACCCAAGTGGAGAGACTGAGGGGGGCTACTGCAGGGAAGTTGTGGGGGTCCCTCAGGTGTTTGATCACATGGGTGAGCATCAGTGTGAGGCCATCTGTGTGCACGCTTAGCACAATGCCTAGCACACGGCTAGGAAAAAAAAAAAAAAACTCACTGACGACGAGTCAGATCTGACTCATAGCTACCCTTCCTTGGGTTTTCGAGGCAGAATCGCTACAGAAATAGATTGCCCAGTCTTCCTTCCAAGGAGCGGCTGATGGGTTTGAACCGCCAGCTTCTGGTTGGCAGTCAAGTGCCTTAGACACTACACCACCAGAGCTCCTAGGTATATGTATACGTATATGTATGTGTGTGTGTGTATACATACATATATATAAAACCAAAACCAAAACCAAACTCGCTGCTGTCAAGTCAATCCTGACTCATAGCGACCCCTGCATGGGTTTCTGAGGCAGTGTCCCTACAGAAGTAGATTGCCCCGTCTTCCTTCCGAGGAGCGGCTGGTGGGTTTGAACTGCCAGCCTTCTGGTTAGCAGTCAAATGCCTTAGGTACTATACCACCAGAGCTCCGGTCTCAGTAAATGTTAGCTATCATTATTGTTACAGCAATCATTATTGTTGTCATTGTAACTGTCATTATCTGACATGGAGTGCTGTCCCCATATTTGAGAAGAGTGTAATCACAATTCTGCCCACTTAAGGCAGTAGGAATGGTGATAGGGTGGGCGGGGGCAGGGCCGTTAGGACGCTGCTGCTCTTAGGTGACCCTGCTCGTTAACATAGTTCACTTTTATTCTTCTTATTCTTTTTTTTAACCAAATAGTGTTTTGGGGAATTCTAAATATAAAAACACTATTGGGTATTACGTGCCCAAATGAAACCAAACCCATCGTCTAGTCAGTTCTGACTCATGGTGGCCCCATGTGGCTCAGGGTAGATATGTGCCCTCAGGGCTGTCAAGACCGTGACCTTGTGGAAGCAGATCACCAGGTCTTCTCCAACCTCTCGGTCAGTAGCTGAGGGCGTTTGTGCCACTTAGGGACTGGGCCTTATTATGCTCTAAAGGGGCTTGCCATTAGGTGAGCTTGGGAAACACTGAGGAGCTGTAACCCATAAACAAGCCTCATAAGGTCTAAGGAGCAGAAGGTCTGAAGGATTCCCAACTTCTTGCAGATGGGGAGGAGGATTGAGACGTCCAGTCTTCTCCCAGAGACACCTGCTACCATCTTGTGGGACCTTGGTCTCTATCTGAGAAGTGCCCACGTGAGGGCCCGCAGTCTCCCAGCACTGTCCCGCACTGCTGATCAGTAACAGCCAGTGTTTGGAGTGGTCGGGCGACAGCTTTGCTCCCACGTGAAGAGAAAGGAGAGAAGGCTCAGGGAGGCGAAATCACCAGCCAGACAGAGCCTTAGTGACGCTTCGGTATCTTTGTCCAATTCTCGGTCTTTATGCTGAACTTCTTAAGCCAAGTGTGTGTGTGCCTTATTTTATCCTAAGGGTTTGATCCTCTGAGAATCACTGTCACTCTCCCCTGAGGACGGTTTTAGATGCGGGATGCCTTTGTGCTGGTGTGTGGGTGGTGTGGGGGTGAAGCAGCGGTGTTGTTACTGAACATTGGGGCCACCCTGTTACTAAGTCATAAAAAGACGCTGCATCCGACTCAGCGTAACCAGTCGCCCTCGATTCTGACTCATGACGTTGCAGAAAAGAACTGGGCTCCACGGTCTTTCTTCTGAGGGGCCTCTGGGTGGTTCTGAACAGCCAACGTTTCCGTTTGTAGCCAAGTGCATAACCACCATGTCACCAAGGCAGTGTCCAGGTGTGTAGAATGCTTTCCCTCTTTCTTGTGTTTTTCTGTGTTCCTGAGCACGGGTCACCTGCTTTTACCCAGAATCCCTGTGGCTCTGGGCACCAACCTTTAACTGGAACAATATATGCATCAGTTGTTGTTGTTGTTGTTATGTGCTGTCGAGTCAGTCCCGACTCATAGCGACCCCTCCTTGGGTTTCCGAGGCAGTATCACTATGGAAGTAGGATTGCCCAACCTTCCTTTCGAGGAGTGGCTGGTGGGTTTGAACCACCAGCCGTCTGGTTAGCAAGCGTCTTAGCCACTATGCTACCAGAGCTCCCCCAAACTGCTAACCCTAAAAGTTGGCATTGCCGCTGGTTTTCAGGAGTTTGTGTTGCTGTTGTTCTGTGCCTCATAGACCAGGCAGATGAACATTCCAGAGGGTAATGACTTACAACCCCAGGCAGGTGGGAAACCTTCTTAGCTGCCTTCATTTTGAGGAGGTTTGGGTGATGAACCATGTGGGCTTTGGACTCCCATGACCTATGTTTGAATTCAGGCTCCACCATTTCCCAGCTGTGTGAAATGATTTATTTCTTAGCCCCTTTAAGCCTCAGTTTTGCACACATGAAATGCAGAGAATACGTCTTGTACAGCTGTGGGGATTCAGTGAAGTAATGCAGCTAAGCCCAGGCTGGCAGCTCAGCCCCACCACCTGCTCCTCGGAAGGAAGGTTGGGCAGTCTACTTCCTTAGATATATCACCTTGGAAACCCAAGGAGGGATCTCTATGAGTCGGGTTTGACTCAATGGCAGTGAGTTTGGTTTTGTTTGGAAGCCGTTAGCAGCATGGCAAGCACTGAAGAGACATTAACTGCTGTGGTTGCCTCTCCCTGAGTGAAGGGGGGCGGTCATTGGATTGTCAGAGCTGAGAAAGGCCACCCAAAGTCGAGTCAGCCACTGGAAACCCAGTGAGCCCCCTCCCCCTGGGACACACGTGGAGCGGCCATGAGTCAGAGTCACCGGACTGCAGCTGGTCTGTCACTGCCCGCCAGCATGCTCCACAGAGCTCGTGAGGGCAAGCTGCTGGTGCACGTCAGAGTCAGGCTGTCCCTCAGCTCCTTCCCCATTCTCCTGACCTGTCGTGGCGCTGGGCACTTCCTGTCATCATTTCCGTTTGTGTGTCTGGAGACCAGATCTTAAGGGCCCTGGCTCAGGTTTTGCGTGTCTTGTGCTCTTTGGTATCTACAGGACTGAGAACAGTGCCTGCCCGGTAAACTTTGAATGAATGAATGAATGAATAAGTTCAGTGATGTGATTGTATACACACACACACACACACACACATACATCCCTGTCACCTGTCAACACTGCCCCTTACATGCCATTAAACTTAACCATCCAGGACATTTGAATTCCTGCCCTGTTTTTTCCTTTTAATTTCATGGTGATTTGGATGATAGTTT